AGGCAATAGAATCTTCTAAATATTTAGAAAAACCATAATCATAATACTTTCTGGCTGTAATAAATATTATGTTTACTAAATTTATTTGAAATAAATAAAGTGCTTAATTTACTGCTTATTGATATTATTTTGTTAGTATTAATATTTGGTTGTATTTTTTGTTCAAGTTATATGGATTTTTGGTGCTCGATATACTTGTCATATAATTCTCGAACCTTTTTTGGGTGGCGATTTTACCCAGTCACTCAGAGACAACTCAGGTCTAAAACAGCACATACATAGTATTAAAATTTTATTAAATTTGATGTATTAAATCAATATTTATCGCTATGATCTTTTAAGCTACTTTGGACTTGATTAGCCTGACGGTGTAAGGGATAGTATTGTATATATCTATATATATAATATACTGTAGCATAAGAGAAAATCATGTATTCTGACACAGGTAGGTAATTTTGCGTATATAGTTTTTTTAGCTAAAATCTATTAAACTGTACTCTGAATCTAGTATATAAGATAATTATTATTATTACTATAAAATCACAAAATAGCAAGCATAAGCATTATTTCAAATTTTGGTCTAAATTAAATTAATTCAGACCAAAATTTGAAATAATGCCCATTTCAAGAATTTATAGTAATTATTATGCTATATCCCAAATCTACCTTAAATCTAACTATATATATATATATATACCATATTATATTCTTAATCTAACTACTGTGCTACAATTATATCTATACATGCTATGTTCTGAATCTAATTACTATACTATATTTCTAACCTAACTATATACTGTACTACAAATTCTAATTATATATATACCATACTATGTTCCGAATCTAATTACTGCTATATTCCAAATTCTAATTATTATGATAATATTCCAAATTTAACTACGGTGCTATGTCTTGAATCTAACTAACATGCTATATCCTGAATTCTAACTACTATACTATGTTCTGAATATAATTACTTGCTACATTTTAAATCTAACTGCTGAATTTTAATATTCATACTATGCTCTAAATCTGATTACTATACTATGTCTTAGTTATAGCGCTATGTTCCAAATTCTAACTACTATGCTGCATTTCAAATCTAATTACTATGATATATTATGAATTCTAATTATCATGCTACTAACTACTGTACTATACTCTAAATTCTAATTACTATACTATATTTTAAATCTAACTACTATGCTATGTACTCAATCTAACTACTGTGCAACATCTTGAATTCTAACTATTATACTATGTCTTGAATTCTGACTATCATGCTACGTCCTGAATCTAAATATCACAAACCTAGCTATCATATTATGTTTCTAACTACTATGCTATGTTTTGATTTCTAACTACTATACTGTGCCACGTTCTGAATCTAACTACCATGCTATGTCTTGAATTCTAGCTAATGTACTACGTTTTGAATTTAACTACATACTATATTCTAAACCTAACTATCATGTTATGTCTCAAATTCTAACTACTATACTATGTTCTGAATTCAATTACTTAGCTGTCTTAAATTCTAACTATTGTGTTACGTTCTAAATTATCATGCTATGTTACAAACTTTAATTACTATGTTACGTTTTGAATCTATACTATATTATATTCCGAACTTAACTACCATTCTATATCCTGAATTCTAATTATCATGCTATATTCCAAATCTAACTACTATACTATGATCTGAATTCTAACTATCATCTATATTTTGAATCTAATTGCTATATTATATCTAGTTCTAATATCCTGAGTTTAACTACTATGTTATGCTTAATTCTAATATCCTAAATCTAACTATTATTGCTACATTTAGTTCTAATATCCTGAATTTAACTATCATGCTATGTCCAGTTCTAACATTCTAAATCTAACTACTTGTGTATGTCTAGTTCTAATATCCTAAATTAACTTCTCATACTATGTCTAGTTCTAATATCTCGAATATTTAACTATTTGTGCTATGTCCAGTTTTAATATCTCAAGTCTAATTATTTATACTACAACCAATTCTAAACTAACTATTATATTATTTCATGATTATATCTAGTTCTAATATCTTGAATCTAACTACTGTTACATTCTAAATCTAACTACTGTGCTATGTCCAGTTCTAGCTATTATGCTACATTCTAAATCTAACTATCATAATCGAAGAGATGAAATCTTAAAATTTCTAATGAATCAACAAAAAATATCATAGCGAAGATATCAACAAATGGCAACTCAGCAACTGTAGCACTAATAATAATGATGCTAGAAAAAAAATTTAAGTAAAATAATAATGATAATAATCAAAAAAAAAGATGAATTTTTGAAATAGAACGCAAAGTGATTCATTTTGATTAATCTGTAATATTTAAAATAAATCGTCATATATTGGACTTTAATTCGAAAAAGTCTAGTCATTCACTTTATTAATTCTAAATGTATGCTTTTTAGTATGTGATAAATATTTTCAAGATAAAAAACAGATCAATCTTCGAAAGTCTTTATACGAATTGCTACAAAAAATAGATATAAATAAGTACTAATGGTGAAAATAAAATACTAAACGCATGTAGGTATACTGAGCCTGGTTATGTTGATCAAATAGCGAAGTCAAATTTTTTTTACCGTCTAATAGTTAGATAGTTATAAAAATTTTGAATATCAAGATCGTAGCATGTTAAAATAAATAATTGATTTGAAGTGTGACACAATTTATTTTAATAAGGTCAGTATTGTTAGATATAAACAGCCAATCAGATTATCGTTTTGTCTCATATTGTTTGTCACCTAGTGTTTATCTCATAGTGTTTGTCTTCTTGTATAACACTTTCGTGTATTATATAATAGATATAAATACACTATAAATCCTATAAAAATTCTAATATTTATATCATCACGATTGATCAATTTATTATAGACCAAATTGAATATACTCAAATTGCTCTGACTGTTAATAAAAAAAAGATGATTATATCTGTTTATAATTATATTAAAGAAAAAATAAAAATGACTGACAAACAGGCAAAACAAATTACTAACCTTCGTAAAGAAGTTTCTATTGCAACAAGGGTAGGTGAAGCAACAATTGCCCATATTGTTGCTGAATTCAATAAAACTGAGAATGTTATATCATCAGAGCAAGGTTACTGACCTCCCAAAAATTTTCAAATAGAATATATGAATGCAGTTCATAAATTGATTTTATTTGCAAATAGAAACGGTTTTCCTCTTTCTCTTTGAGACATAGTCTTTAAATTATTTGAATTAGGCTTTGTAGTTTCAAAAGCACAACTTGCACGTCACTTGAAAAAGCTTGGTTATCATTACAGAAAGGGTGAATGACAAAATATTCTCTATGAAGCTTCTTAAAATATTTTGTATTGGGTATGATATTTCTGTTGGAAATTTGAAAATATTCAAGGACAAAATAATATACCAACTTTTCCAAAAGTTTTCCTTACGAATCATATTGCTATATGCATCATAATCGCAATTTGATCTGGGTTCTGAAGGATGGTGTAGTGTATAATAAGGGAAGGGGTCATATATTAGTTATATTTGGGACTATTGTCATTTTTCATAATGAAAATAGCAATAAAGTAGAAGGAGAGTTTATTTGTAAATCTCTTCTTATTTGTGACTCTACTACAAAGCCACCTACTGAGAAAGGAAGAAAGAAAAAGAATGCAAAAGCATAAGAAACAATTCTAGATGCAGTGAAAGCAGCTAGTATTGTTTCAGATAAGGTGGATTATTATGAAAATTTTTAATGCAGAAGTATTAGAAAGAATTTTTG